GCAGCCGATGCCCGACCCCGGATCACCGCTGACAGCGGTGGCTCCGGCCCCCGCCAGGCGGCCCTGTCATCTCCGGGCCTGCGGCCAGCTGCCCCGGCCCAGCAGGGAAGCGGAACCTCCCGGCCTCGGCCTCCCACCGGCTCCGCTACCGGTCCCGGAGCCCCCAGAGGAGCCGGACCGAGCCCGGCCGCCGCCCCCGCCCCTCACCATAGTGCCGCCGCCGCCGCCTGAGCTCCGGTCCCGAGTCCGCGCTGGAGCCGCCTCAGGAGCCGCCAGACAATAACCCGCCCGAGCGCGAGGAGGGAGCCCGGCCTGCCGCGGCGGCCCCAAGCCAATCAAGGCGTCCCATACTAGTTTGAACATCCGGCTACCGCCAATCCAGGCGCCGCTTCTTACCCCCTCACTGGCTCCGCCCCGCGGCCCGTTTAACGGCTGTTTTTCGTTTGCACACGGCACGCAGGGGTGAGGGCGGGGGGCGTGCCCGGCGGCTCCGAGCCGGTGGGCGGTGCAGCGGAGTGACGTGATCGCCTACCAATCGAAAGAGCCGGCCGTCTCGCGAGAGGCGGGGCCGGGCAGACAGACAGCTCGCGCAGCCAATGGAAGGAGAGAAGCCTTTCCCGCCCAGTCTCTCCCCCCGCCCCCCGTGTTGTTTGTTTGCGCGGAGAGGGGGAGGGGGCGGATGCGGCGCTGAGGGGAGCGGGGCGGCGGTGGGGGGTTCGCCCGGCTCCGCCACCGTTCCAGGCGGGTCCCGGGCCCCGTTCTGCGGACGCGGTCCCCGTCCCTGTCAGGGCCGTTGGTGGGTCCCGCCGGGACTCCCCGGTCGTGGGCCGGGGTCTCCCCGGGCACCGGGGCTCGGCTCCTGACAGGGCCCGGGGCCCGCGGCCTCTGTAGGCCTTAGGACCGCTCCGTACACCCCCGGTATCGCCGCCGCACTTCTCCCCTCCGCCCGCTTCGGGGGTGGACGGAGCTTCCCACCCACTCCCTGCCCGGCCCAGGCCCTGTCATCACCTCCACAGCCGACTGAAGGGCTTGGGCCTGAGGCACAGCCTAGAAAGACTTAAACCTCGCTTATAA